ACGAGCTGCTGTGGTTGTAGTTGATCCCGTCATTCCCGTGAACGAGCTGCTGTGGTTGTAGTTGACCCAATCATTCCCGTGAACGAGCTGCTGTGGTTGTAGTTGATCCCATCATTCCCGTGAACGAGCTGCTGTGGTTGTAGTTGATCCCATCATTCCCGTGAACGAGCTGCTGTGGTTGTAGTTGTGTAGTTGATCCCATCATTCCCGCCAATGAGAATACACGGCAGATAAGACGCTAACGTAAAAGACGACGTCATGACTTGAGCATTGAAGCTGCATCTTGGGAAAGTAGATGGGTCTTTTGGTGGGTCTTTTTTTTTTTCGTTGGTTGACCCCACAAAGAAAAGACAAATTTACAAATCTACATAATAAATAAGCATTGTGATATCATGATTCAGCTTTCTAGCCAACTTTGTATTATTTTCACAGGGTGATGCGAGTGCAGCCTGTATATATATATATTACTATACATACGGTGGAGGTCAAATGGTTTGGCGCCCTAGACGGCGTAGCTTAAACTTAAAGAAGACTTTTAATCTATCGAAATTCGTTGATGACTTCTTGGATCCTCGTTTACAGAATTATGTTGATGTGTCTAATGAAAAGTCGATTAGGAAGTGGGTGTGCAGCCGTCTGTGGAAGAACAACAAAAACGCCCGTATTTATGTAATAAAGTTTTCAAATAAATGATCTGATTTTTTGTTTGTTAAAAAAATCAATGATAATGTACATGTCTCTCAGGACATTGCCATGATAATGTACATGTCTCTCAGGACATTGCCATGATAATGTACATGTCTCTCAGGACATTGCCATGATAATGTACATGTCTCTCAGGACATTGCCATGATAATTGGGGGGAGGGGGCCGCGGCGCTCTTAATGTCCGTGTGTGTGTTTGGGATGGTGGTGTGTGTGTGGGGTTGTGCTGATGTGTTCCAACAGCGCTTCGTCATGTCAGTCTTAGAGCAATAGTAATGTTCAATTACATTACAAGTTCGAGTCATGTTGGATTCGGTCGTGGTATTGAAGGGCACGCGACCAGGCATGAATGACGAAATGTTAAATGCTAGGCTAAATATGCTCTTTCTCATATACCGTATCAGTTTAAAAGACCGAGTCTGCAGCCAAATGTC